AACAGGGATCTCTGGCAATGAGCGAACCAAACAAGGACCAATTGTGAAACAAATAGGCAGGAAGAAATGGAGATGGATTGACCATATGCTGAGGAAACCATCAAGTGACATCACTAGACAAGCTATTGCTCGAGTGGAACTAGGCCGAAAGGGAAGTGGCGAGTTGGTCGTTGGGGTGAGGTCTTATTACTACTGGCTTAACGAGGTAGGGAAATGCGTCGACCGCCGCTCGAACCCAAAACCACATGACCAGTTGGCGAGTATCCTACCGCTGTGCCACCGACGCACTAACCTACCTATATTACTTTTTAATACGTTCACCCTACTGTGTGATTACAAACAAGTGAATACAACACAGAGGCTGAGCTTTTTCTCTAAGGTAACTCAACTCAGTAAGGTCAACGATTCTGGCTGTAACTAAAATCTGGTAATCATCTAATTGTCCCGATCTACTCACTTGATCCATCTAATTGACCTCAAAATCATTAAATTATACTTGATAAATTGTATTATTTTCCTTAATTATATCTGTCCTATTCTGGATGAGATGAATTGAAGTCTAAGTATATATTAGTGTGTTTCAGTTTCCTATAAACGCTAGTGCCCAGCTGATGATAATACTACATATACAGTTGAACAAATTAGATCAGGCTGAATGGGGCTCGAACCCGAGATCCATTAGCTGAAAACTGAATGTTTAAAGCCAGTGAGTTGGATCTCAATTCCTAGTAGAACTTACTCATTATTAAAATAAATACTTGAGGTCCTACCAACCTCACATCAGAATAACAACCATGTTTAGAGAGGTGTGGACTATTCATTATCTAGATTTTTCTCGAGGTTTATCCAATGTATATTGCATCACATTCCAAGCATTTTGTTATATAGGCATAATTAGTTTGTGAATCCTTTGGATTTCGGTCTTCTACATGGAAAAGGTTGCTTTATAGTGCCAGGTATTCTGTCTATTTAGTACTCTTCTGATGCAGTCTGACGTTCCTAATCTATGTGGGTTAACAACTGTTGAGGTGTATGTCTTCGGAATATGTTTTCGACTATTTTTGTGTTAGTATTGATTTTGGTAATGAAGTTCTTTGGATAGTCATTTTTCTTGAGAATTTCGGTAATATCTGAGATTTCCTCTGCTATTACTTTTCTTCCGCTATCAGTGTGTTCGTCTAAGAAGACTTGAGACAACTGATACCTCTGCGCTGATCGGATGTGATGATCTGAAGTCTAAATATTTGTCAGAGTGTGTTTTCTTCCCGAAAACACAGGTACCTCATGTTAAATAGAATCAAAATTGTCTGAATAGGAATGATGCACTAAGACAGAATTTGATGTGGTTCGAACACCCCACCCGCCCCGATAAAGTAAAAAGATCAACACAGATGTGATAGATTCTGCGAGGATGAGCAACCTTCAATACGTCAATACATGCTGTTTTTATGATTTCATACACTTATCAAATCCAACAATCTCCACATGACTTTGTCAGCATAAAAATTACCTCATACTGAAGAACGACGATTAGGTTGTTGTATATGTAAGCTGAGATTTTGTAAATCCGGGCTTAATATTACCACTTTGATAAAGTGCTTAACAGCATTAAATAGCGAAAAGTCTGTCAAAACAACAACAGAATCATTTTGACTTTTTCATTCATTGGGAAATACAAAAGCTTTTAGATTAATTACTATACTCAATGCCCAAATCGTGCTTAAAATTCTTCACTCTCTGTATAATTCTAACACAGATGAAGGATAAGCTACCGAGTCTGGCCACTTCAATGTGCATTTATAAATCTAACTGTTCATGTGAAGACAGTTACATAGATACACGGACTCGGCAAACCCACTGCAGACTTCTGAAGTACTGTCCAACGTGCCTAGGTTATAAGGTCAATCAGAAGTTCCATACTGGCACACCTTGTGGTGGATATGGAGCTTAAGATTGACAAAAATTCAGCTTTTACAATTCTATACAAAGTGCGAACTCAACTCCCTAGGTTGATGCCTCTTCGGTTGCTAAGCGTAGCTGAGGCAGTTACCCATAATAATTTTTCAACCCAATCTGTTTGTTCAGTCTCTCCCTGTCGCTATGTGACAATAGTTACTTCCCCCTCTACCCCTACTAGTATACACATTCTACCTATACACTCACCGTTGCCTGGAGTATAATAAACACTCGAATGAGTTTATCCGTTACTATCATTATTTCTTTCAATTTTTTTCCTTCACGTTCCCAGTGGAACATTGGGCTTCAAGCCAGATGCTTGAAGTTTCGGTCACAATCGTATTTATTTTTACGGGATGGGGTTGAAGGCTTCATGCTCGACCTCCTCTCATTACCAGTCACATTTGATGATATTAGATGGTTGGAGGCAATCGGCAGGAAACCTTGCACCTAGGTTTCGTGCTAGTTGGCACTCACTAGTCAGCAAGGCGTATCTGCAACCTCCAAGGAACTCATGTCCCTTCTGAGATCCGAACCCGCATCACCCAGTGCTGCAGTCAGTGACGTTACCACCGAGCTATTTGAGCTCGCGATTGACCTCCTGTAGGACTGTAGTGGATATTTTGATTGGACACTAGAAACTAGTGTGATGTGTCTAGTCCAAGGCTTCCTGTCGATTGCCTCCAACCATCTGCTATCACCAAATAAATGTGCGACGTGATGGTGAGCTACCTAGAATGGTGGCCACATTACAGAGCTGACTGATAGAATTCAGTCTGCAGCGAAGAAAGGACTAGACACATCCACTAGTTACGAGTGTCCAATCAAAATACCAGTCACATTATTGACTTAGTGAGGTAAAAGAGTGAATCAGCGAGGGCCAGGAACCTGAACCACATGAGCACTTGGTGACCATTCTACCACTGTACAACCGATGCAAATCACGATCATATCGACTGCTATCCATTAGTTCACATCCCCAACTGTGATCTCGTACATTTGATTCACCATATTCAAATTTCTATAATTAATATTTCATGATGTAAATGTAAAACCTGATTATTATCATTACTTTATTCCTTTGCGTACCATGTCGAATATACGGGTCTAAGGTTGAGCATTGAAGTTTTAATAGCAGAGATGCTTTTTCCAAAAGGGTTGGGTTGCTAACCACACTAATCACGCCAACCCTTCTCTCTTTGTCAGGATTATAACCGGTTAACGGAGGTAAAGGTATGATGCACCAGCTGGGAATCAAACCCCAGACCACCATTTGCACATAGTTGGTCAGCAATCTATCGCTGACCCACCAACGCACCTAAAGTGGCATAATAAGGTGAGCAACATGGAGGTTAGGCGTAGAGTTCTAGGTAAACAGGGGAAATCAATCGACGAAGTCGTGAAGCTACATCGACTGAGATGGTTAGGACATGTGTTACGTATGCCAAGTCATCGCCCCCCTCGACGAGCAATGTTAGCGGATATAGGGTCAGGCTGGAAAAAAGCTAGCGGCGGTCAAACAAAAACTTGGCCTGACCAGTCAATGAAATCCACAACAGTTGGTCTAAGCCACGTAGGAAGGTGTAGACTTCCAGGCTGGGGTCCTCGGTACGGTAAAAATCTATGGTTGGAAACAATTGGTGACATGGCTCAAAATCGTTCTCAGTGGCCAGCGCAGATGCATCCACTCCCTGTGACTTATGATCTTCAATGAAACTGTTTTGTATTTCTTTATTACTCCTTTGTCTTACACCTCTGCTCACTGTTTCTATTATGCTTTTCTTGTACTTTCTTCTCTTGCTTCGCGTGCTACACGGAGTGTGGCGACATGAACTTCCGCACATTTGTGCAAAGTTCTATGTCGAAAACAGACAGACAGACAGAAAGCCTGATGAGAGTGAACTAAAAATGCCTACTTGCTTGCTGGAATTGCGCAATTTAAAACTGTGTTAAAAAGGAACTTTGTTTAGACGGATATATATACGTATAATACCGTAATACCGCCTCTATGAGAAATTTTAAGCTCTCCTTAACATCATGATGATTAAGAAAAATATTTAAAAAAAATTACTTTTCTGTTTTTTTGTTATTTTGCTCAAAACAACGACAAGAAGAACAAAATAAAATAACAAATTATGTTTCGAAATGAAAAAAGAGAAGTTAGTCAAGTTAAAAATGAAGTTAAGTGAAGTGACAAAAGAACACTTACATTACCTAATGTGTAGAGAGAGAGAGAGAAGGAAAAACAACCGGAAATCAAACAAAAAATAGGTTATCCCCCCTCCCCTCACTGTGAAAAAAGGAGAGGAGAGGGGGGCACAATGAGACAGGGGGAAAATAAAGAAGTCGAAGGGGGGGTTAGGGATGAGTTATTTGGAATATTATATCCTCTTCGAACAGTTTTATTACAATAAAAAATATTTTAGGGACAAAGTTCATTTATTATGATTCTTATTAGTGTCAGAGAGAAAGACAGTTAGTTAGTTAACAGAAAATCTATCAAATAATTTAGATACAATCATCAGTCAAGGTCACCATAAAAGAGGCATCTTTTAGGAGAGAGAGAGAAAGAGCAAAAGAGTAATGGCGCCTGTATATACTGGACTGCATCACAGAATCACTTCAAACGGTAGAAATCATCACAAAAAGAGAAAGTTATAACAAATAGAAAATATGATATAAAATAGAAAATAATACGATGGTAGACTTGTTCTTTTTGTGTGTTTTTGTGTCTGTACTCAAAATCAGGCGCAACAGAGTACAAAACAAAAAAAGAATTACAAAACAATGGCAACAACAGCAACAACAAAATAGAGAGAATATGAGAAGGGTATAAAAATAACCCCGAGATTATTATTATCATTAATATTATCATTATTATTAATATAATTTCATTTTAAAAAAAGGATAAGAGTTATACGAAATACAGAAAAATAACAAACATGAGTATATTCTTTATAATGAAGGAAGAATAAAGGAAGGCCATTTTTGTTTTGCTTTGTTGTTTTTCGGTGGGCATATAATCCCCTATGAATGAATCAGTCTCAGTCAGTAGTAGTTTTAAGTGATGGCGGTATTACATACGGGTTGACAGATGGTGCTGGAGTAGGCTCTTTTGTAACAAACTCTTCTTTAGTCTTATTATCACCTGATGGTGGTGGTGGTGCCTCATACGCAGGTTGGTCATCAGTCTGGAAAGAAAAATGCCAAAATGGAAAATGATAAGTAACTAGATTCGTATAGATTTGGTAGATGGTAACTAGCAGTGGGTAGAATCCAGGAGAATGCGCATTTCATCGTCAGTTAGCTGGATATCGACCTGCATTCCCTATAGTGAATGAGTGAGTGATGTGTTTCTGCCCTCCCTGCCCCCCCCAACTGAGTCTCGAACCCAGTACCCATTAGTTTCAAACGTCACAGCTGACCGAATTCCTTCAAGTTAAATTATTAGACATCGTCGAAGCATCCTAGCACAAGCAGCCGATATGTTAACCTAAGGCCGAGCACTTTGGGCCAATTAATCAACAAGAAGGATCAAACTGAATTATATAATAGATTCATATACGTATATGGACTTCGCCGATGGTATTTGCCTGATTTCCTACAAACTGAAAGATATGCAAGTGAAAAGCAACAAGTTGGTAGAAAAGGCCTCTAGAGAAGATAGGATTTCAGGTGAACATGGCGAAAACAGAGGTGATGAAGATTCCTGGCCAACAGCAACAGTCACAGCAACTACAACAGATAACAATCAGCATAAAAGGGAGAAATCTGAAAGAAGCAACCTTCTTCACACGTGCCTAACTGGGAAGCATCGTTTCAACTACAGACAGAGGGACCTAACGAGGATATGAAAGCGAGGACAAGCTTGCATTACCCTCAAGTCTGTGTGGAGATCCACACTCAGCACTACTCAGCATGAAAAATAAGATCCAGATTTTCAACTCCAATGTTAAGTCAGTTTTACTTTACGGACCAGAGACTTGGAGCCACATCATGAAGGACACTTCGAACAAACTACACACCTTCATCAACAGCTATCTTCGCTTAATACTCAAGATCAGATTGCCAGCCAGAAATTATGAGCAACAGGGATCTCTGGCAATGAACGAACCAACCGAGCAGGAACCGATTGTGAAACAAATAGGCAGGAAGAAATGGAGGTGGGTTGACCATACTCTGGGAAAACAAACCATCAAGTGAGTGACATCACACGCCAGGCCATTGCTCGTGTTTAACCCGAATGGGGAGCGGCGAGTTAGTCGTCAGACGGTGACATAGAGGAGGTCATGTGAAGAGGAGATGAAGGCATGTGGGCAGACGTGGAGCCAGGTGAAAACGTTAGCAGAGAACCGAACGCAATGGACACGTGCGGCTGAAGCCCTACGTTCCTCTAGGAATTAAATGAAATAATAATAATACACGTATGTAGATTAAGAATAACCTGCAGTAGAAGTAATTATCACTATTTACTGTGACAAGAAACAGAACTTGGACACTGTAGTAGATTCTAATTCTATTATACAGCAGTAAATTGTGCTCAAAACCGTCAGCAGTATTACTTACTGTATGATGGAGTAATCACTATTCTTCGAGCTTTGCTGACTCAATGACTCACTGGAATAATTCAATAAGTCTTGTAGATAATCTAAAACTTCTGTTACCACAATCAAACAAACCACAAGATACGTAAACCAAATTGAATCTGAAAGGTGTGTGTGTGTGATATAATTATAGATTATAAACTGAGCTTGAAACATCATTTAGTAAATATTTTTAATTTTTGATTTACAGCTTGATTCCATACTGTATTTTCGGTACAAGTATGGAATTTTCAGCATGGATATCGGTAGCCCAAATTTTGCAGGCCGACCATAGATATCAGGTGTGCGTCGGTGCGGGCTCGAACCCCGGACCATGTGCATGGTCGGCGAGAGTCCTAACCACTGTGCCACCGACGCTATACCCCGCTGTGTGTGGCTTAGCCAATAAATAAACTGATACACACCACATACTTTCAACCTATTCCATTGTGAAGATATATTTTCTTTGGCTTGAACACTCACTCGACTTTCAGTTGCCACCAATGGGTCCCGGATACGAATTCCGCTCCACTTGTTCCAGACAGGGACACACACTAGGTGGTTGATCATCCCTCACGACAATACATAAGGTTCGCAGCCTCGTTACCAGAAAATTTTTATCCATCCTAGTCGCTGAGTACTAACAGTGGCAGGCCATGTATGACGCAATAACTATTACTGAATTATGTGTTCACCTCATAATTAGCTATTTAAATTCTCATCTTAAATCTCCATTTATATAACGAGTAATTCAGTTTGACAGTTCAATGTATTTCGACTACTGAATGAAATTAATTCTAGAATTTTCATCTATTGTTTATTACACAATCACCAATTACAAATGACTTCATTGAAGAAAAAGGTTTTTCTCGAGTTAGCAGAAATGTTCCAAGTGGAACATAGGGGCTTTAAGAGCAAATTGCCATTTTCCCTGCTCTCTGTAGGCTTTTATAGCTGGCTGCATGATTTCCCGTAGGCTCTCGTCCCCTCCGCAGATGATCACCTCCATGATAAACTCAGACCAACACACAACTAGTCTTTTTCTATTCGGTTCCCATTCGTGGACCTAGTGCGTGATGTTGTTACTCAACGGATCCCCTTCCCCAGCGTGTGTGCGATCTATCTCCATTTCCTTCTGCATATTTCTTCGACAGTCGCTTATTGTTGCTAATTCTTTCTGACTGGCAATATGACCTTCCGTATGGATCAAAAGCAACTGTTGACAAAAGTCTACAGTTTGTTTCAAATGCTTTTCGTGACGCGCCAGTCTCAGAACCACAGAGAAGCTCTGACTGACTTAGCATTGATGTTGAAAGTCTGGATTTTGTTCTTGATTCTGAGTACGTCGGTGGCACAGCTGTTATGACTCTCACCGGTCATACACATGGTCCTGGGTCCGATCCTCTACCGAGGCACACCTAATATCTATGGTCGGCCTGCAAAATTTGGGCTACCGATATCACATGCTAGAAATTCCATACCTGTATCAAAAATACTGCGTGTAATCAAACTGTAATCAAAACAGAAACAGAAGACTTCCAAACCGAGTTCAGGTTGATTTAAGTGTGTCTTGCCTTTCCGATTCTAGCTGGTGTTGACATCTTCATCCATAGCGCCTGTGGTTGAAAAAATGCTTCTCAGATAGGTGAAGGAAGTTGCCTCTCTCAAAATTCCCCCTTTGATGGTGATTGGTGCTAGTTGTTGTTGCTGTTGGTTGGTTGGTTGGTTGGTTATCTTCATCACCTCCGTCTTCTCTATATTCACTTAAAGCCCTGTCTTCGTTGTTACTGCCAACTTGTTAGGTTTGGTCTGTAATTTTTCCAGTTGGTGTGTGACATTAGGCATAAATAGTCTTCGAAATCCAGATCTGTTAGAGTCTTCTTATAGACCCAACGTATTTCTAGCTTCTCGCTACCCACACACTGCATCATAATCCAGTTCACCACAATTAGGAATATCATTGGTGAGAGCAGACAGGCAGCCTTCTTTACTCGTGTATTCGTATCAAAGGCCTCGCTGACCTCTCCATTGTCAGTCACTTGGCATATGGCATTACCATATAGCTGTTCGATGAAGTTCCCAAAGGTTTGAGCTACTCCGTAGTATTGGAGCGGTTTCCAAGTCGGTTTGTGGGCAACGCTGTCGGACGGCTTTTTCAAAGTTGTTTAGTTTACCAGCCAGTTTTAAGACCGGGAAAAGTGGGAAGGTTTGGCGTGGGGCTAGCGGTCCAGTCTTCGGTAGATCTGGGAGATTACAGAGAGTGAATACACTTGCGCTACTGAGTACAGTTCTTAACTATGTCTCCAAAAGTTTTCAATCATTGATTTATAACGTATCGAAAACCCCTGCTAGGTAGTCTAAACACACCTGTGTGACTCAAACCAGTAGTCAAAAGCTTGATAAATTGATTTCATATTTTGATTTGACCATCTTTAACCGTTTTTAAAAAAACTCAATCTTATGTTAGCTGACATTATTTGACGGGACTTAACACCAAACAACCAAGGAGCGCATCAATGTCGCTTTCTAAAACTTAATGACTATTCTGTACACACATAACAGGAATATGCCTCCAAAAGCCTCAGGATGGTCGGGGGTGGGTGTCTTGCGCTGCGGGTTGGCCACCCCTCCGTACACCTCTTGAAATGCTCCCATATGACCGGGCGTCTTACATAGCCTCTCCTGAGGAAGTCCTACTCACTGCCTTCACGTGGCGGAGGTGTTTTTCACCAAAGTGAGAGGGCAAAAGCGGATGCCCGGCGCTCTTCACCGGGTTGACTGTCCATTGGATGACAGTCTAGGGGAGATGGCTAAACCCTGATTCCAAACCTCCAACGACTGGCGTATGAAGCTCACCGGCAGACGTATGGACAGAGGGCTTATTGGATGCCCTGGATGACTGGCCCCATTCAAAAAGGCGAATGAACCGGACTCCGGTCACCGGCTGCCAATGGATAGTGGACTCCCTACTCCACTCCTACTGCCTTGTAGGTCACACTTGGTTGTGTAAAGGCTAGAGCTGCACTCTCAAACAAAAGGCCGAGCGATGCTGGGGACATCACTCGTACCCGATTCCCATGAAACTTCATGGTTCATGAAGCCGGCTCATCCTCCCGTAGGAGATAGTCGAAGTAAAGTAAGTATAACAGGAATATCAGTCTGATGCTCACTAATGACTGGCCTTATTCAGGTAGGTAGTTATCTGGGTTCTGGTGGGAAATCCTGATCAGTGAGATACAACAGGTCGGGAGTGAGGTCAAATACTCACCGATGACATTCGCTAATGGTCACGCCATATCATGAATTGGCAGAAGTTAGAACTCATAGACCGCTGGATCGGGTCCCAATGGCTTAATGATCTACGAGCTCGCCTTGTAACCAGAAGGTCCTAGGTTCGAACCCCAATGGGTGCGCACCACTGAAGAGTCTCAATTCAGAACTAACCAACTGTTTGGCAATACTCCCCGATAGTTTTCCACTGGTTCTTTAACTGATGTCAGCATATGGCGAAACCCTCTAACCAGCCAAATCCCTGCAAACCAACACTCAAAAATATAATTGTGAATGTATAGCTAAGTGAGTGAATTCGTCGAAAAGAGACTTCGCTGAGCTATGTGTTTTACTTAAATAAATGTCCGGATTGGGATTATCTATGATCTTATTTACGCGGAGCTAATCATTTATGTACAAGGCTATGATGAGTCACATTTATTATTGTAAAAGAGTCGACGATACCTACCCAAGCTGAAGTAATTTCGGGTTAGTGGGGGGGGGAAGGGGAACTCGAACCTGTAACCCATTCACTGAAAGTTAATTAGATACCCAAACCAATGAACGCCAAATGTCAGTCTCAAAAGTGGAAATTCATTAAACAACGCCTTTAGTTTGCAGGATATTCGAATAAGTCAATTCCAATATAATAATAATAATAGTAACAATTAAAAACAGCAAACAACTTTGATATGAACATCGCTTATTAAAGGGAAAAACATACCGCATTCATTTCATCGGGAACTGGAGGAGTTTTCGGGTAAAGTGTACCACAACAGTAACAGCAACAAAGGCAACAGAAGCAGCATGTCATTAGGAAGCATGTACATACAAGGCACTGTGACAACAAAAAAAAGCAGACAAATAATCCACATTCAAGTTAACCATTAGTAATTAATCTCAAAAGTATACAAAAACACAAAGTGTATCCCTTGACATAAACGGAAAGTGTTCTGAGAAGAGCAGAATCATCGCTTGCCAAAAACAAAATTAGAATTCAACCACCTGGAATAAATTTCTCCTACACCTCACTATAAGCTACACTGATTGTGTGTGTGTGTGTGGAGTGGTGGCAGTGATACTGTGGTGAGAGGGAGCTGGCTGTTAGTCAAAATTGGTGGACAGTAATTTACGTCAATGTTTATGTTCCCAATATTGGTCGTGAGAAAAATGACAACAAAGGCTTTGCGTAGGCGGATACAGTTAACATATAGATAATCTGACATTCAAGAATTAGCCACAAAGATATGCAAGGCTAACTTTCTGTGGGAAACAACCAATCAGAAGACTGTCTTTCTGCGAACAATAATCCATAATATGTACATGAAAATCTATAAATATGTGTTGATTTCCTTAATAAACAATTTGTTGCCTGGCGCTTGTCTTCTGTTGTTACAATACTACTTAACTATCCATGTTAGAGTAGGAGAGGGACTGGCACTGAAGAACCACCATTGAGTGGAAGTCATGTACATGAACCAAACATCAAACGAAATAATCCCCATAAAGCATTTACTATTCATCAAAAGAAAATGCATAGGGAAAAGGGGAAAATTAAACTGTTGCCTTAAGTTGAGATCCTCCTAACGAACTTAAAAGTATGTTAAGATAAACAAAAGTGATACCAATGTGTAGGGACAGGTATAGTGTACTGGACGCTCACCGACCATGCATATGGTCCGAGGTTCGATCCCCGGCCACAGACGGACTCCCAAACCTCGCTAAGCCAGAAATAATGCTGGTAAAGAGGAAAGTTTGGACATTAGGCTAGCAACCCTATCCTGTAAAAATAAACACTACTGCTACAGAAACTTCAAGCCACTTGCTTGAAGCCCCATGTTCCACTGGGGAACGTGAAGGAAAAGAAATAGTGTACTGAAGGTATGCGTTATCTATGCGAGACCTAATGATGTATCCTAGATACCCAAACGATCATAACTAATCCAAGTTATAGAACACGTATAATTCCTCGACAATCTCAGCAAACGACACACAGCTTGTTGAATGAATGAAATACTGATATATTTAACCCTGAATTTTATCGAGTCATTTTGTCAAACAGGTTTTGCCTGAAAGGCAACTGTAAACTTCATCACTCACACCATAGATTAATATTACCTTCGGATAACTGTTTCTTTAATAGACTTCAAATTGTATCCAGGTTCACATTTCTGTTTTTACACTGGAGAAGATTGTACTGCCTAAAACATATAACCTAGCAACAAGTGCAACTTTTTCCAAAGTTCTCCAAGCCTCGGACTTGGGTTGTTCATCAAGGTTTTTACTATTGAATGGATTGAAAAGAGCTGCAATCTCACACAACACAATTTCTATTTGAGCAGCTTTCGAGAATGCATGGCCTACGACACCAATACCAAACACATCCTCATTGACCGAATTCTCGCCATTCGGTTGTGTATTTGAATTTGTAGCATTAGAAGGATTGAAACGATGGGCATTAACCCCCAATTAAATAACCTTGGTCATTGTGAAGGCAGTAACGAAAATCCTGATTTTACTCGTAACCAGCTTGACATGTGCGTGAGTCATTACATTAATTCAGTCAATAATCTTCAGCAAACACTGGCAGCTTGTCAATGTCAATATTTTTATGTCAACTTTTATTTCACTTAAATCTTTTGCACATATACATTACCGTAATGTTTTTGAATTTAGACATCACGAATTTGCCCTACGCTCTTTCACCAAACCTCTACTTGCCACTAATTAAATCCATTGAAATTTAGAATGGTGCATTGAAATACTTCAGTGAAAATCCGTTACACTATCTCACAGTTTGAAACAATCAGCGATGTTTTCTGAATGTTTGACTGGGTAGAATATATATATATATATATATATATATATATATATATATATATATATATATATATATATATATGTCCCCTAGTCTCTTTAATTCGGAATCTTTCAGTTGATGGTGTATGCTAAGTGGTGAAATTAATATATATGTAAAACTTGGGCTTTGCGATAGTACGTAATTTCATAATAATCTATTTTCTAGATATATCGCACACTATCAAACAGTATTATTTACTGGATATTGACGTTTCGAATACAATTCACTTATTGTTCATAATCATATAAATTATAACTGTACAACTTCGAAACCACCGTTTTATTTTTATTTACCCCCTCCTTATTCGTCGTAGAGATGGTGGAATTTTCCAAATGTCCAGTTGAACAGGTGTTGAGTCGCTTCTACTGCAAGTATTTCCAGTTGATTCAGGAAAATAAAGCTTCCGTTATACCAGACTCTCCTTCCCTACACTGCTATATTAGACTTTAGAACTGTCCTCTTAACCCAGTAAATAATACTGTTTTACCATGTGATATATCTAATAAACAAATTCATATGGAACTAGACGGTAAAATCTCTAATTTCCTCTGAGTCACTTCAATTGGAAATAAAAAAGTTCATTGATTAATCCAGTTATCGAATTCGTGTGTGAAGCAGAATCTTAAGGAAAAATTGCCTTCTTCCTAGTTCTAATAACAAGACCAAGTGGTACCATAAAAACAAAATTTACAAAAGTAAATCGACAGTTCTATCTCCCGTGTGAAATGGCATAATAGGGTAAGCAATACTCCGGTTAGGCATCATGTGCTAGGTAAGGAGGGAAATCAATAGACGAGGTTCTGAAGTTACATCGACTGAGATGGTTAGGACATGTGTTACGCATGATAGCGTAGTCATCGCGTGCTTTTCTCGACGGGCAATGTTAGCTGACTGACATAGGATCGATGAGATTGGAAAAGAGCTAGCTAGTGGTGGTCAGACCAAAACATGGCTTCATCAGTCAGTGAAAACCACAACAGTTTATATTTTTATATTTTTGATTACAGCTTGATTCCACACCGTATTTATGGTACAAGTATGGAGTTTTCAGCATGGATATCGGTAGCCCAAATTTTGCAGGCCAACCATAGATATCAGGTGTGCGTCGGCAAGGGATCGAACCTCGGACCATGTGCATGGTTGGGGAGAGTCCTAACCACTGTGCCACCGACGCAGTTAGTTTAAGCCAGCCACTTAGGAAGTTGTAGACTTCCTGATTGGTGTCGTCGGGACAGTAAACACCAATGGCTGGAGACAGTCGGTGATATGGCTGCAGATGCATCCACTCCTTTTGACTTATAATTTCCAATGAAACTATATTGTTCTTCGTTATTACCACTCTTTTTGTCTCATATCCCTGTCTACTGTCTCTATTTTGCATTTCTTTTTACTTTCTTCCCTTGCTTTGTGTGCTATATGGAGGGAGTGTGGCGACTTGAACTGCTGCACATCGGTGCAAAGTTCTGTGTTGAAAACAGACAGACAGGAAGTTTAATATACACATTTTTATAGCTGCTTCCCTCTCCAGGACTAAATATTTAACAGAGACATTCAGTTGTAGGGTCGAAGAAACAGGTAATGAAGATATGACTGAGAATGAACTTAAGACTAAATACGAAACTACCAATTGGAAATCACCATCCAGAATAGTTTATCAGAAAACATACAGTTACGAAGGTAAGAAATAAATGTTCTACATCTGTAAACAAGAAATCTCTATATATGAGTGCAATTTAAAGGTGACGCACCAAACAAAGTAGTAACAAACAAGCTAAGAAAATCAATTAAAAGGACTAGGAATTTTTCAGAGCATAAAAGATCTCCATGTCATCCGATTAAGAAAAAATAAGTCAACAAAGAGATCTCTTTGCCAACTTAAGTATTCTTAAAAGCACTAGACTGGTCACCTCTTCCCAGATATATCAGTTTAACTGCTCTAGTGGAATCTAGACCCAAACACGCCATAAAGTTAGCATTGAACTACCAAAAGTCTCTAGCCATCCAATACTCCAAACGATAGAAGCCACAGCAATTAGGTCAAAACAACTGAGAGTTTGTGTACAACCCTGACCTGATGCGGAATCCATAAATTCTACAAGTTGGTCTAAGCATCAGCAAGACATGCCAAAAAAGCAGGAAATCTAGATGCAGGCAGGGCTTCTTGTTAATATAACATCAAATCAGAGTTCAACGCAATAGCGAGCCATCCTGTTTAGTGGTCGTATTGCAAAACTGACTGAGACAACTTAGTTTGCAATAACACTAATGACAATATGTGAAACATTAGTTATACAATAATGCCCAATTAATGAAAAGCAACCTTATGTTTAGCACCTATCAAAAAGTTAATATACTACATCATTCTATTTTTACACATTTTCTGTAAAACATGCATACTATTAATCGTATCTCTCTCATGGATGATATTGTGCTGCAGTCCGAAGAAACACTCATAGTAACTAAGCTCAATGTTAACCACCAGATAAATCGCTGTGAACCGAAAAACTACCCAATGTGGATAAACAGAGACTAAAGAATCCCTGAGGGAATGACTTAATTATTTTTAGACATTGTGGACGCCTTGACACTAAGTATTCTGGAGTTATGAATGACTTCACGCAGTTTGCGAAAAGCCAGAATACACTTAGGAATTCCAAGAATCCGTTTGAAGTATTTCATTTTTGAGACAGCAGAAAAAAGATACTATCTCAACTGCAATACTTACTCAAAACTGAACAAGAACAACGATTGATCCTTCGGACACCGCAAAAACTTTGTCACATTACCTTAGATGACTATCAAAAGATCGTTTTTGAGTCGGGTAGCTTTCTTAAAGCTGACTAACTGATATACGGTATAGAACTTTGAACAGAAGTGACAGTTCAACTTGCCGCACTCTATGTAACACACGAACATAGGCAGAAGAAAAGGAGGCTCAAAAGAACTATAATGAGCAGAAATAAGCGGGAAAAAGAATAGTGACACGTTAAAAACTGAGGGTCACTGTCATTTTTATATAACTGGATCAGTCGAAGTCATCAATTTTTGAAGACTTCCTACTTCAAAATTTCCTAACTTGACAGTACGACAGGAGAGTGCATTGATATATTCTTTAGAAATAGAGAAGAAAGGCTGCCTTTGTACCAACCGAAAGAGAATCAAATTGGAGTACCACACGCAACCAGCTTTTCTCAATGAAATGTAAGTGTTACCGAAGCTACTTGTATCAAAGCTGAACACTCAAGACCTATGCAATGATACTCGTTTATTGGATTTTAAGCAGTGTACTACCTAAGTAAACAAATACTGTAGGTCGACAAGAGTAAGACTGAAGTCGTACACATTGATGTAAACGACTCACAAGACCACGAATTTGGTGGTTGAAATCTGGTCCTCACACCGAGTCATAAAATCTTGGAACCGATTACCAGAAGTGGCGCCTGAAACCTCACTGATTCGTTCAAAAAGGGTACAGACAGTTAGTTACAGTAACTAAATCATAAAATCACACCATAAAAAAATGTAGGACAGGAGATGGGTAGGACTACTGAATATAGCAGTCCCTTAAAGGACTTTCAATGATTTGAAAACACCAAATGAATTGAGTCGCATGACCCCTTGGACCCCACCTAATGTTGTGACTTAACAATGGATATCAGCTCACCCCACAACCACAGCTGGTGTGATAACCACACATAAAATTGACTGAGACAATTGTGTTAATTTATAGATATACACAAATGTAAACTTCGGACAAAAATATCAAAACGGAAAATCGAATGCTGATACATTAGTCAAATATCAATTATAACAATATAAACGAAATTTCTACCTGCACACATGGGTTACGTAAAGCCAGATATGGCTTCCAGTCTTCCTCATCAATATGCTCAGCCACATATATACCTAATGCTCCGTATCGATCATATAATCTTCTTTTTTGTTCATTTGCTAATATAGAATGAGCTCTGTTGATTTCTTTGAACTACAAATTCATGAATAATAACATTCATACCTTTTCGGCTGCAGTTGGGTCATTAGGATTTTTATCCGGGTGGTATTTCAGTGCAAGCTGGAAGTTTATTTAAAAACAACAAACGTACTCTACGATATGACCGTTTAATTTCCTCGGCTGTTGCATTTTTCTCTACTTCCAGGACTGCATACAAATTAATACCTTCCTTTCTGTAAAGTTAAAATGAGATGTGGTCCCAACATACGCTGATTTCCGACCACTTTTACTTTTCGAACCACCATCTTTTGAATGATCAGGTGGCATTGTGCAGTTGCTGATAATCACATGCTCAAGGCCACCCTTTGAAACCCCACCGTTTTTGTTCAATTTTCAATACTGTTCAGACCCAAATTTTGTGAAAAATAACAGAAATATGACTGACCCTTACGAAGTTTTACACTTAAAACACAGTGACTCTTTAATTCAACCCCCGAGAAGATCAAGAAAATTGTTGATTCTAGTGACACAGTATATCTAAATGTTATATGTTATAATACAGAAAGTCTACACGTGTCCTCTTGAACATCTTCATCAAAGCAGATGGGGTAAATTTTGCCATAGAAAATTAATGAAATTTTACATTTAACTTAAAATCTGTTCTGTTATTATAGCTGGCCTAAAATATACATAGTGTTAACAAAGTAACCTGATCCCTGCGGAAACTACAAGGCACAAACTATGGTCTGAGGGGAGCAATCTTGACTAAACGCATCAATTTCGTAAGCCTAACTGCACACAAGTCATCATCTTCAGCTGGTAGGAAACTAGCGAATAAAACAGAGTAATATGTCTGTCATAGAACTGCTTCATATGTCAGCCCGGCAGCGGTATGCCTAGCGTCAATTTTTTTCACTTTTTTTATGCTGAGGAAAAATAAGGGTATTGGCTCTTTCAGTGCGTAGCTGCTGACAACACAGCTTTCAACTGATGATCAGAAAGTTCTAACATATTTCTGTTCCAAAACGCGCGTAGCATACAGGTTCGGTCAAGACTAAAATTAGTCCCCCTTCGAATTGCCACCAGCGGTAGAATGTTGTAGAGGATGACCATCCGAAAATTGCTATCCCTCCTTACAAGAAAGTCCGTGCAACTGTTTCAGCAGATGTGTTCTTGAGGGGGGCTGCTTCAGGTCATAAAGTATAACATTTTGGCAGGGTCAACTGATGAGTGCAGCCAAGGGAATCCCAGGCAGTCTAATCAAATTTGTATGAACATGGCCAAAGGGGGACATACGGGTTAAGAGAACTGCCGAGAGAGACTTTAGTGCCCCTTATTATTTTGCACCTTTGGCAAGCGAAATAAATTTGAGCCCAGTGTCTTAATATAAATATATACCGAATGGTGGTGAGCTTGATGGCGTTTCAGGTTCCTGTGTGAGGCGAGTAGTGTAACGTATCGAAGACAGGCGTAAATAAATTTTAGGCATCAAAGGACGAGGGAGCGCCACAAACAATAGTAACCTAACCTCTTTCCAACGACATATCTCGTAATTCTAGAGGTTTTTTCACAAATCATGTTGTAGCCCGGTATCCTATTTCAAAGGCTAAGCCAATTTTAAGGAGGATTTGTGCTGCCCCTTTGAAAGAAGGAACAAATGCGCCCCTGTGCAACAGTGTTTCCTATCCTAGTTTCATGGCAAACATATGAGGTAGAGTACAGAATGTACTCTAGCTGGCGCGACTCCCCTGATAAATATCTATCTCGTGTTGAGTTCAGAGATTACGTGAATAGCTTATGGATTCAACTGATGTCGCTTCTCCAATTATCAAATTGGCATAAAGTACCTTACATAGCGAAAATGTACTGTACTGCAGGTGTGAACTTACTACAGTGTCAGATGTGCCAAATGAAACACTCACGCTTGCTACCGGTTTCTCGCATTTCAGTAGAGTGTCGTCCGCGACGGCTTCTTCGAGTTCAATGAAAGTATAAACGTCTAGACCCATCCATCCGTTAGGTTGGATCTGTCAGATGCTGATTTTAAGCGGCATAGTTGGAATTCAGCTATCAATAATTATTAAACAAGCCATTAAATGTGCGAATATATTCTATGGTCTTTGTCTGTGGAAAATACAAAATCGCGCTGAGTTAACTGGCCAGCGAGCGGATGGTGATGTAGTCAACAACACTGCCAATTTCACCCTTGTCTGACATCTGCGGATATTTATGGTAACACCATTACTAAACAAAGAGACGAACGAAACTGTGAGCTGACCACCTTCTAACCAACCGTCACCTCAGCTAGTCCAGAAATACCACCAACAACCACAAAACATCACGCCTACGCCAATCTTCAAACAAAACCAGAAGTTTTGAATGCAACCAGGCTACTAATGGCCAGACTAGAAGGCAACAGGACTAGACGGGATCCCCTCATAAGCACTGAAAACAGATCCAAAGATCTCATTGGATATGCTAAAACTGATGCTGCAAAATGTTTGGAATGAAGAGTACTTTGTGATTCAGAAGAAGACTACCTCGTCAAGCTACCAACGACTGGTAACTAGGCTTCTTCAAGAACTGGCGTGGAATAATGCTCCTCTGCACGCCAATTAAAAACACCAAGTCATGTCACTCTAGAGAGAATAAAAGACGCATTTGATACAGAACTCTGCCACCCACAACAAGCTGGATTCAAGAAAGGCAAATGATGTGCTGGTCATAATGCAACTGTACACAACATCATGGAACAGGGCATGGGAGGGTAGTTAAAACTCTCCACCTCAGGTAATGGGTAAAGGCACACACGACCTTATGGAGAGACTAAGCACTTCAAGATGGGAGGGTGGCGTTAGCTGATCAGTAGATATGGTGGCGGTCAATAAGGTGAATCGCCCCATTCTGCAGGAACAGCAATATGCAATTTGAAGGCTCGAGATATTTCTGATTTTTATGAGGGCTTAGATCTTTATCTTGAAAAAGATAATAATGAACGCCTTGACAGATCATGCTTCTACCTTTAAATATATACCATTCGCTCAGCCTATTGTTGAGATGCGACCATGTGGGCTCTGCACAGATTTATGGGGCATCTTATAAACTAACTTGCTGTCCATTGTCGGATCTTTAAATACCACTTCACAATATCTTGTCTCACTTATTTTCTAATAACGTCTTTACTTGATCCTCATTATATTCCATTAAACCTAACATTTTATAGCTCTCTATGAATTTGATTCGACTTATTCTATTCCTATTCTCTGAAGGGTACGATTGTGCACCAAATAGACAAAAAGGCATGAAATAAAAACAACTGGCTTGAAAATAATTGTATTAAAACCAAAAGTGAACATCATGATAGTACAAAATATATTGGTTTCATTATACTTTGCAAATGAACGTTGTCAGCCTAGGGAGTTTCGTTTATCAATGCATTTATTAGTGATACCTTCACTTACCCATTTCATTACGCTTTATTGATTCACCTCAGCACTTTTACTTTTCTAAAACAGCCTTCAATCCCTTGTAAACGTTGTACTTACCTCAATATTGGATGGTTATCGTATGCCGACAACCACGGGATGAAAACGAAACGAAGTCGATTTTCCCGCCCAACCTGGAGGACAACTGTACAATTCAATAACTATACGGCCTGGTTCAGACAATGAGTGTAATTATATATATATATATATATCAAATATTTAACTGTTGAAACATTATTAACTTGTAGACAATTTAAGATTTGACATTATAAAATACTTGATCGTGCCTGTAAAAATGGCATGCATTTTCATGTAAATTTATATGTTTATACGAGAATATACATTATTATTACATTATTACGTCACGTATGCATATTGTGATTGGTAGATTTTACTTCGCATCAACGCTGCAGATAACACGTAGCACACGTTACTCAGGCCGGCCTCCAGAATGATAGTAACGAAAGTCGCTTAAACATTACACTTTTTCAGCTTACGGAGACAAGTCAACATATGTATAAATTTTACAGATTTGACATGCATGTGGACCCACTAAAAAAGAATATTATTGGGTAACTTAATCATAGAAGTATAAAGTTTGAAGATTTAGTCTCTTTCAGTTGATTGTAACGGACAGAGAGAAGAGGCAGTTGTGTAATATTTTCATTTTTCAAAAGACAAACTGAAAGAAAAATTGGAAGTTCTGGGATTATTCAAGTCTATTATGGAATATTTGGACTAATCTTACCGATTCTACTATTGTTCCCACCCTTGTTCACACATTCATTGTTGCTAAGATAAGGAGTTGTTCACCTGAGGTAAGATTAACTCACCTGATATGTATACGTCCTTAGGAATTTCTCAGTGCGGCTGGAGGTGGTCGAAGGAATACAATCTCGATCTTTGTATGGAGGGATCATAACCAGTTTCTTCTGAAGGATCGGGCGGTGCTGAAAGCTGTGTCACAGTCATTGGAGGGGAACTGATACACTTCTTGTGGATAAAACGATTGGTGGACTTTGATTTGACTATGATGTAGCCATAAAAAACTACAACTGTGACTTTTTCACGGATTGTTATATACCCTTTTTAGTGTGAATATGTACGGTTTGACTGTTGTTATTTTGTAAATATATGAATTTATGTCGAATACCGGTATATCTCTTAATTATCATTTCGAGGACATTGCATAGTTAACGGAATTGATAGGCAACCGAGTAATACTTGTGTGGAATGCGTCATAATCGTAAACCGTATTTTTTTCCCAGTGCGTCATCAGGCCCCGCACGAGATCTTTCAGTTACATTTAATCCGGTTGAGTGTAGTATAAGTAGGCGCTAGTGTTAAGAAGAAAAGAAGGTCAAAAATGTGTTCGTACTGAAATAACGAAATATAGTAAACCTTTTATAAAATACTGTCAAAGTCGTAGTTCGTTTTAAATCCTTATGTGCGTGCAACACCTCAGTTATATTCAGTCCGACTGCATAAAACATTATCTTTCATCAGCGCTAGCTAAAAATTACACGTTGAGCTTATGTTCCCTATGCAATTACTACACATATAAAATAACAAATATAGGACGTATTACAGGTTTATCCTATTGAAGAAAAACCCAGAATTCTTATGCTGCGCAAATTATCATTGTCAGTCTTGTCCCGTAAACCGTTAATGCCCAGCCCCTGCTACGCTGGGACTCACGCTGTTCTTCGAAGCTTCTCAGAAACACTTAGTACGAACGGACGCAAAAGCCAGAACCCAGTTTGGTGATTCAAGAATTATTTATTCTAACACCACCAGTTGTCTTCCTCAAAGCCGATAACCAGTACTGTGATACAAGGTAGTGTTCTTGGCCCTATTCTGTTCCTCTTATTTATAAATGACATAGTCTCTGTAATCAAGTATGGCAAGCCATACCTTTTTGCAGATGATCTCAAGATAGTATATGATTATGGGTACGGTGATATGAGCGTCGAAAGCAAGATCCAACAAGACTTAAATGATCTAGGCATTTGGAGCGCAAAGTGGCAACTGACTT